TTTATTGAAATTTGACAAGCTGTGTGTTTCAGAATAATACTTCATGCAACTGTATTTGTCTTTCTTATGTTATTTGGATGTTTTGGTGGCTTCTTTAGAAAACATTTTTCATAATATAATTAATTACACTATGTTATTGTTTAAGTTGTGTTTTTTTTTTTCAGATGTTTCTCCCTGGTTGCTTCAGCCCCCATTTCTACACTTTTCATATTTTTGCTGCTCTCTCATGCTTTAGACATCTATACAGCATCTGCTTTCTGATATTCTTTCTTGTGGTATTTACATGCCATCTGGTGGCTATTCAGTTTAACATTTTTTGTATATCAAGGGGTGTAAAAATGTTGCTAAACATTGTTTATGAGGATTTGTTTCAGACGAACTATGTTTCATAGCATGCTATATTTGTGCAGAGAATATCTAAATATAACAGAATGATCTAATAGAAATGAATAAAAACCCTATAACCCGAGTGCTTTCAAAAGGTGGACCTTTCTTCTTCAGGGACAAACACCTTTCAAAAGCACTTGGGTTATAGGGTTTTTATTAATTGCTATCAAGGCTTCGTGTTTTTCTAATGTCATGAATGATCTAATAGATAGTGTACAAGCCGACTAAGAGGCAGTAAGCATTATTCAATTTCATGTTAGCAGTTTCATTGATTATATGTTGAAATCCAAAATTTATTTATGATGTGATCAAAAGCAATATTTACACGTTGTTTTAAAAAAAAATATCAATATAAATGTTCTTTGCAGCAAAACTTTAATTGCACGTAACACAACACCTGGCTAGAAAAGGTAATAAAAAAATAACTTTAAATTAAAGTTCCAGTTTTCTAGGTGATTTTTCAAAACAAAGAAAGTGTGATTGAAGAGCAACCATATCAACAAGCAGTAGCTTATTCTAACTGTACGTTTGTTTATTTCTACTTTCTTAAGACATGGAAAATACAGTTAACAAGTCTGATTGTTGAGAACAAGTTTCGGGAAGTAAAGAGGTTTATTTTTCACGAAACAAAATGTTTTTACCTACAACAGTTAATAACAGAAATGATTTTATTTATGTCATGCTTGTTTTTCAGATTAATCGTTGATTGAAGAGAATTTGTTGGTGAAAAAAAGAAATATTTTTTTTTATTATTATTAAAATGGACCTTTAACTGATAGAAGATTTTTTATATCAAATAAAGATTTTCAGCAATAGGAAAGGATTTTGTAGATATAAATAAGAGATTTATTGATATTAAAAAAAACTGTGTAAGAAAATGTAAGATAAAAGCAAGTGTTTACTTATGCATTCTGATTAAGGGAGCAGTAAACCCTATAAATAGTTTGATTAGAAATTGTTGTAATTGATTATGTACTTCTTATAGACAGGTTCAAAGGCATTTCTAGACATATCTTTCTCCAGATTAAACAGAAGTCTATTATCCGCTTCTACGGATAGGCATATTAGGTTGTGGGACCCACGTTCAAAAGGTTGGTACAATATGAATATGATTATAAATATATATATATATTGTATGTGAAAATCTAATTCATGGAATATGTTTAAAATGGTTTATTGAATAGCTTTTTGGAGAGAAACATTTCCTCATAGTTAAAACTGAGTTTGTTTAAATTTTTGTTTTCTCTTAGAAGGAGATGAGACATACATTTTACCTCGGCAATTAGTTATGTTTCTTTATCCTTGGAGTTCAGCTTGCATGATTTTCTCATCAAAACACAGTATTACACAGCACTCGACTCGCAATCTGTGGGTTGCAGGTTCGAATCTCCGTCACACCAAACATGCTCACCCTTTCAGCCATGGGGGCATTATAATGTGATGGTCAATCCCACTATTCGTTGGTAAGAGTAGCCCAAGAGTTGGTGGTGGGTGGTGATGACAAGCTGCCTTCCCTCTAGTCTTACACTGCTAAATTAGGAACAGTTAGCTCAGATAGTCCTCGTGTAGCTTTGTGCAAAATCCATAATAATCAAACAAACAAATCAACTTTTGGGAATAGGGACGTTTATACTGTATAGCTTTAGACTAATTTTAATGCATGAATATCTCTGACAGTAGTGCTAAATTGTATAAGAACAGTTATCACCAGGTCTCTTCTTTCTGACTTTGTGTTTTTGTACTGTGTAGTGCTAAACTTCATTAGGACAACGTTAGTCATAACTGTCTGGTTATACTTTTGGCCAAACGAAGTGAACCTTATGAGGACTATTCTCTCATTAACTTGTGTAACTAAGAAAATCCCACCTGTTAAAAGAATGATCACTATATAGTTTGGAGACGGTTTCAGTAGGTAAAGAAACTTTATTACAAATGTACAATGTTTCAACAAGTTTACGTCATCATCAGATAAGAACTTTTCCAGAGTTTTCAACAAATACTTTAACTCTGAGATGGGTTTCTTTCACCATTTTATAAATCTTTCTCATATCAGCATCCCAGTTGATTTCTTAGGTGTAAGGATAAAGTCTTCTGCCACTAATTCAAGAATATTTTAAAATAGGGACATGTTCTATGGCTTTAAACTGTTAAAAAAATAAATATTTTAAATCAAAACTATGAAATAATCTTTTTTAATTATTCTTACTGAAGTAACTATAGTCCAAAAATATTAATATTTTCAATGAAAATTGTTAAATAATATTTTTTTAATTGTTCCAATAGAAGGCAGTAGTAAAAAATTAACAATTTAAATGAAAACTCTTAAATTATTTTTATAGAAGGCACTGTAGTAAAGAAAATGAATATTTTAAATTAAAATTGTTAAATAATATTTTTTTTTAATTGTTCCAATAGAAGGCACTGTAGTCAAATGTGTCTTTAGCTCCCATGTTGGTTGGGTGACTGCAGTTGATTGGTCACCAGTCAACCAATACCATTTTATCTCGGGATCACATGATACACTTTTGAAATTGTGGGATATAAGAAGGTAAGCTTTTGATTCACTTTCAAATCAATCTCTGAGGCCATTTTAGCTTATTTTTATTATACAATAATTATTTATCTGTGCACTGATCAGACTTTTGTGTAAGATAAATCCAAACATTTGCATGATTTCAAGGCTTCTTTATATTTACTATTTTCTGTTAGTATATAAGAGGAGTTTTATTGATGTTTGAAACCATTTATACACAGCCAATATTTAATAGAATTAATTTTATATTATAGTGAAAGATTTATCATGCCTTCGTCTGTAGTTTCTTCCGAACTCGGAAAGAGACTTATCTCTATCTGAAGTTGAGCTTTGTATAAGGTGTAGGACATAAGTATCTTATGTTAACCTTGGGGGTTTGTATAAGGTGTAGGACATAAGTATCTTATGTTAACCTTGGGGGTTTGTATAAGGTGTAGGACA